ATGAAACACATTCATAAGAGCAAAAGAAACAGCCCAGCAAACCACAGCTCAGCAAGGAGATAGGTCTCCACTATGGTAGGAAGTGTTTTTATCCCTGAAGGCTCCACCTCAGCTCAGGTGCCTCAAATCCCACTGATTTCACCCACTATCAGTGCTTGCTAGTGCCTGATGCCTCTGCTGGGAACAGTTACCTGACAAAAAGTCAGTTGTCATGGAAAATACATAGCACTCTTGAGATAGAAGTGAGGTGGATTTAGAGCCCAGTGATGTCTCTGTGATGCACACTGGCAAGTGCTGGCTCCATTAGGGCTGCTCTGAGGCTGGAGAAGAGGTGCTACTGCTGGTTCCCAAATCCCAGCCCAGTATGAGCATTGGTTGTGGATCCACCACCAGAGTTGGTTTGTGCTGAGGGGTTTCAGGTCTACATCCAGCTGTGGCCGGTTTCCCACTCATAGACTCTCTCTTTGTGGTGCCTTTCATCTCAGATTGGAGCAGATTAGAACAAGGAAAGGAAAACTCATACTGAAGAGAAAACCTTTGCTCTGAGATGTGATGTTAGGAGTGTTTTGGGGCTGGTGGCCCCATTTTCCTTCACTCTGGTTTCTTGTCAAGGATGAAGAAGAATGTCTCCTGTGTGGCTTTAGGCAGTTGCTGCAGTGTTATCACTGACACAAGTGCCTTCTCTGGGGATCTCCCATGTGTTTCCATGGAGCATCCAGAGCTTGGAGCAGCAGCTATGGACATCCAGCAATCAGAGCGCCCATCCCCAGCCAAGGGGAGGGACAGGGCATTTCTAAGCATTTGTAAGTGTTTCTGATGCTCAGCCTTCCCCAGGTGACAAACTGGACCTGCCCAAGCCACGAGCTGTGCACCAGGATTCCTCCTTCCCTGCACGTGGAGTTTTACCCCAGGGTAGCGTTGGCATCAGTTGTCACTCTGATCTTGGCCAACGTAAGGGAAACCCACTCTGGCAGGCACACGGGTGCACACCTTGCACCTTTGGCAGGGAACAATCTCCAGAAGGGCACAGTGGGGCTGCAGGAAGGGCAAAACCCCATCCTTGTTTGGCTGCAGGACGTGCTTTTGCTGGTGGGTTTGTTTCAGGTTGTATACAGGTGGAGTCATTCTTTTCCTCTTCTTCTTCCTCCTCCTCCTTCTTTTCCTCTTTCTCCTCCTCCTCCCAACCTGCTGGACAGGCTCAGGGCAGCGTGCCCTTGGGGAAGGAGCAGTGGCTTCTGCAAAAGGCTCGGGTTTTACTACTAGCAGACTTAATACCCACGTTCCCTTCAATTTTCCACTTGGTGGAAGCAGCCGACAGGAGATGGGCACCTCTCCCTCAAGAGGGTCACGCAGTGCAGGATATAACCCAATTTCTATTATTATATAGTTAACTTTGAAGAAGAAAGAGGTGTTTGCTGTCTAACGGGGTCTTTTAACCACGTGCACTTAGTCAGTAGGTGAGTAGATGTTGCTGCTTGTACCTATCTACGTCCCCAGTCGCTACATGTGACCACGTGTATCGCAGCGCTGGGTGCTCTGCCCGGCACCAGGAGGGATGGGGGGAAGGATGGAGCCCGCCAAGGGCCGGAGCACCGCTTGTGACTGGTCTGTGAAAACCGTCGTCCGACGTAATCCCCAACTGTTGACACTTTATGCATGTGCTAATAAAAAATAGAGTCCAATAAAGATTTTAAGAGGTTCGAGTATATCTCATTTCGGCTTTTTGTCAGCTCGCCCTCGCCGTTGGCAGCCCCGTGATGTGCAGATCTCTATTAGAGCCGGGGGCAGAAGGAGCAGCGCAAAGCTGATAGCGCTGTAACCCTTATTGTAGAGAAAGCAGCTCTCAAAGACCAATTAATTCCCACGGCGATGTAATCCCTGACCCGCTGGGTAATTAGACGGCCAAGAAGTGCTTTCTGTGGGAGAAGCTGCCATCCTGGAGGCATTGCTCAAGCCCAGAAGGGATAATTGACCCAGAGGCACTCAGTTTGCCTCAAGCCCTCCTAGTTTGCCCCAAGTTACCCTTGCTGGGGAAAGTGTGGGCCTGTACCAGGCTCAGTTCAGCTGAATGAAGACACAGACACCAGCATGGCACATGCCTGGGGCAGGAGCCCAGGTCTTCAAACGTTTTAATTTTACCCTCCATTTTTGGATAGCCTCTTGACAAACCACTTAAACAGTTTTATTTACAGTAATAAAAATAAATTACTCTTACAGATGAATGTATAATATTATACACAATAGAGATACAGTGCAATAACAGCATTGATTTGTTTTCACTCGCTCATAAAGTGCATCGTAGGGGCTTGGTTTTACCATGACCGAATGGTAACTGGACATTTTCCGTTGAGATCACCTTTCTCGGTCAAGCTAAAAGGCTAATGAGAACAATTACATCAGAATGATCGGCTGTTCTGATTGCTCTGGAATGTCCTCTTTCCTGGGGAAGCAGGTATGATGAGAGAGGGAGGAAGAGGGAAGGAGCAACCTTGGTTTGGACAGTTATGCTTGACATCAAGCAGAACTTATAAAGGCAACTACCATCATCCTCAGCCTTCACAGCATCCTGTCCTATGCAGTTTCATGACAACATTTTTCTGTTCATCTCAGGACCATTTTCTGTATCTCAGTCATTGTACCCTACACTGATAGGTTGGCCAATGGGCAAATCCATTGGTGGGCTCAGAGCTGGAGTCTACTTGTTTGCATCCCTCAAAGGCGAGGGCAGAAGAGTTCTGGTGTGGGTCATCTCTACTGGAACCTGCTTTATCTCTGCAATGCTCAGCATTGCAAAAGTTCCCAATGGGGGTGGGAAAACTCCATTCTGGGGGTGGCAGGAACAGGAGAAGGGCAGTTGTTGGGTGATGCTGCAAAAACCAACGGCACTTTTAACAGAAATGGTACGAGTGGTAGAGATGGAGCTGTGAGCATGACCACCTCACCCCAAAAAAGAGCCGAGCACGAAAGAGAGGAGTTGCAAGGAAATCCCATGTGCATCAAACAGTTATTCCTCTTAATTTTAAGTAGTGTGATTAGTTGTTAACAATTATGTGAACACCTGATGCTGGTCAATACACGTCAATACAAATGATTATCAAGATCAACGCCCCTCCAGCCCCCCCACATCTGATGTTTCTACAAGAAAGAGGTACTTCTTCACCTACTGAGAACAGGAATGATTTCTTATTACGCAAAGTTCACAATGAACAAATTGGACCGAAACCTTAGGAACTTCTGCTGGCCACTGAAAGAACCTGGTCAAAAAGACCCAACCTGCTGGCTACTTCTCACCAATCTTCCATTGGAAAAGACCAATGTTCTGCTTGCTTCTGCTGCTGTCAATCCCAGCTAGGTCCCACAAAGCCCAGAAACAGTGCGAGTCTAAGTGAGGCCCTGGCCATGCATCCTCCAGCAGAAGCTCTTTGCAAATATTTGCAGAGGTGCAACGGCAGCATGAGGCAGGGACGGGGGTCTGGAGGACACACACTGACCTCTGCCAGCCGAAGCTTTTGTGCTCTGCAAAGCCCGTGGCAACTCCTCTGAAAAGCACAAGAATTACACCAGTGGCTTCTATGACCATCAGCATTTCTGGGGATTTGTGGCACTACTGGAGGGGCTTTGGCTCTGGGTTCAGTGCCAGCACGCTGAAAGCAGTGGCCAGTCCCCTGCTGCGTTGCTTGCAGCTTTGTGCTCTCCATCCCCTGTCACCACTGATGCATGCAGGAAATCCAAGAAAATGCCATTTCTGTCACACCGAGGTGTACCCAGAGCCAGTAAGTCAGAGCTACATTTCATTCAAAGTACAAAACAAGCGATGGGTCGCCCAGAGACACCAACACTGCCCTCTGGGTCCGGCTGTATAAAAACATCCCAAAAGTGTTCACGATGCTTCAAAAATGGCCGAACCTGACTGTGCCGGGAGGTGTGACACTGCAGGGACCCGGCTGCCGTCACAGCAACTGGGGGAGGGGACAATGAGCAGGGAAAGGTGTCCACATGTATAGATGACTTCGATATATCTCTATATAAATATATATATTCACTTCTCTGTGTACGCTGATTCAACGTTGTGCCGACTGCCCGTTGCCAGAGGTTTTGAAAAAAGGAAACGAAGAACGGAGATCGGCCACTTTCAAAAGGCAGCAGACGAGCTCAAGCGTCCGCAGCTTTCCCCACCCCGCACCCCCGCAGGTTTCGCGCACGCGGCCCTGAGAACGAAGCCCCACGCACAGCCCCGGGGCTCCGCACTCAGCGGAGCGGCGCGGATCCGTGGCGGCGGCGGAGCGGTGCGCCGTGCCCCCCCCGGCCCGAAGCTGCCGAGGGACGCCCGGTCACGGCTCCGCGCCGCCGCCGCGCGATGCGGCATTGCGCGCGGGCACCGCAGCGCCGTCGGGAGCGGCCGGAGCTGTGCGGAGGCGGTGCGGGCAGCCCTGCGGGGTCCCAGACAGCCCGGATCCCTTCGGGGTGCGATACTCCCCGTGTACGGGGAAAGGGCAGCCCCTCCCTGCAGCCCACCTTTTTTTGGGGCGGGGGCGGGGGAAGGAGTGGACGATTCCCCAGTCAGCACCCCTATGAAACGAACGGCCGCTCCCTAAAGTTCTTTTGTCCCACCCCGCCCAATCTGCCCCACTCCCCCGGCTCCCTGTGCTTCTCCGGAGTCGCCCCCGTTATTGCATAGCAGAGCATCACCTGACCGTGGGCCCCCGTCCCGAGACCCCGTACTCGGGGTCAGCCTCTCTTACACCGGGATGGGACAATCGCAGTGCCTGACCTCCCGTCCTTTCCTTCTCCCACTCCCCCCCCCCCCCCCCCCCTTTTTTTTTTTTTGGCGTTTTGTGTTTTTAAATAAAAAATAAAATGTGTACGAAAATAACATTTCTAAGGAAACCATCGGCATTCCTTTCTCTCTCTTTCTCCTCCCCCCAAGTCCCCCCACCCCCTTATTTTTTCTATTTTTTTCCCTATTTTCCCCTTTGCCCATTGGCTCTCCCGGGGCGGGGGGATCCTCCAGGTGGAAAACGAGGACGGCGGAGGGGAGAGGAGCGCGGGGAGGTGGACGAGGAAGAGGAGAGAGGAGGAGGCTCTCACACGTCGCTGGATGTCCGCGGGCGGGAGGAGAGCGCGGGGCCGCAACCGCAGCACGCCAACCAAAGCGACTTCTGGATGTCGGGGTTGCGGAAGGCGTAGATGATGGGGTTGATGAGGGAGTTGCAGGCGGCGGGCAGCGCCAGGGAGTAGGTGTACACGGCGGGGTAGCTGGAGTCGGCCACCAGCGAGTAGATGGCGAAGGGGATCCAGCAGAGAGCGAAGGTGCCGAGGATGAGGGACAGCGTGGAGAGCCCTTTGCGGGTGGAGGTGGCCTGCGCCGTGGCGATGAACTGGTGCTGCACGGCGATCTGCTGCGCGTGCCGGAAGGCGATCTTGCAGATCTGCAGGTAGAGCTGCATCATGAGGGCGAAGAGCAGCAGGAAGGTGACGGCCAGCACGGCCGCGTTGTCCTTGGTGACGGGCCGCAGCACGCTGCAGGCGCTCTGGTCCCGCAGGCAATGCCAGCCCAGCGGAGGCAGCAGCCCCACGCCCAGGCACAGCAGCCACATCAGCAGCACCGCGCCGCACGTGAAGCCCAGCGTGCGCTCGCTGTGGTACGTCAGCGCGTTGTACAGCGACAGGTAGCGGTCCACCGTGATGGCCAGCAGGCTGCACACCGAAGCCGAGAAGGCGGCCAGCAGCAGCCCCGCCGCCCCCAGCTCCGCAGCCTCGCTGGGCGGCCGCAGCAGGTAGCGCACGGCGAAGTTGCCCACCAGCCCCAGTCCGGCCAGCAGGTCGGCCAGCGCCAGGCTGCCGATCAGCACGAAGCTGGGCGCCCGCAGGCTGGGCGTATAGAACAGCACCGCCAGCACCAGCGCGTTCTCTCCGGCCACCGCCGTCCCTGTGGCGCACAGAGCGATGTCCCAAGGGCTGACCGCCGCCGCCGGGCCCCCGCCTCCCGGGGCCGCCGTGCCCGCGGGGCCCCCCCCCCTCCTCCGCCGCCGCCGAGGGCCGGGCGCTGGGGGCCGAGGCGTTGCCGAGAGCCGGGAGCCGCTGCTGCTGGGACTGCGGCTGCCAGGGCTCTCCCATGGCGGCGGGGCCGTGCAGCATCGCTGGGGAGAGAGCGAGAGGAGAGCGCTGAGCCAGCGGTGCGGGACGGGGCGCAGAGCCGAACCCTTTCCCCTCCCCCTTCGCCGCAGCCCCTCGGCCCCGCACCCGCCGCCGCCCCGCAGCCCCCCCGCGGCGCGGCCACCTTCTGCCGCCCGTTCCGAGCACAGAACCGCCCCTGCCCCCCCCCGCTCCCCGCAGCCCTCGGGTCGTTATTTTCGGTCGCCCCCGCGGGGATGCGGCGTGGCAACGCCGGGTACGGCCGCCCCAACTTTTCCCTCTCCTCCCCGCACTGCCGCAGGGCGATGCCCGCTGCTCCCCCCTCCCCCCTGCCCGCGCCCCCCGCCCGTACCTCTCTCCGTGCCCGGGGAGCAGCCGCTCGCCCCCGTTTTCAGGTTTTCCCCTCCCGGTGCCCGCAGCCCGCGGTGCTACGCCTCATTCCTCGGCGAACGTCGCCAATAGCGGCGGTGGCGGCTCGCTGGCATCCACCGGCACTTAATATTCCTGCCCCATTGGATCTGCTGATAAATCTCAACTCTGACGTCAAAGTCTTCACTTATATTCATGATCCAGCGCTGTGAATCAGAGCCGCTGTGCTCGGAATAACAACGAGGCCGGGCCGCTCCGCAGAGCACGCGGCGCGGGGGCTCCGCATCCGCCCCCCCCCGACCCCCTCCCCCGGCACAAGGTCGGGGCCGCCGCCGCCGTTTGTGCCGCCGGAGCTTTTGGGGGTGGGGGCTGAGCCGGCGCGGTGCGGTCCGTGCCCCCCCGCAGGGACAGAAATCCCAAAGGCACCGCGGTTGTTCCGGCTCCGTCATTCACAAAGGGATGCGGATCCCCCGAACGCGGACTCCGCTCTCCCGCATGCGGGGGAGTCTCGGAGGCCTCTGCCCCCCAGCCAAGCACTCCATGCCGGTTTCTTAAAGCCCCCGGCCCGCAAACTCAGCTGCAGACCGGACCGGATCCGCGGGGTGCGGGGCGAGGCCGGGGCTGGGGGACTCCGCGGGGAGCACGCGGTGCGGGTCTGGCAGTGGGGAGGGCCGGGTGGGGGGCCTCGAGCAGCCCCGCAGCGGGCAGGAATCTCACCCCAAACCCCGCAGCGCTAGGACGCGGCCTCCTGGTCCCTCTGTCAGCTCCTCCTGCGCTCTCACCTGCAGAGATCACCCCGTGCAGGTGGGTCTCTGGGCAGGCACCAGCCCCGCGGTGTCCTTCGGGTCCTGAGCCAGCCCGAAGCTTCCCTGGGGGCACATCACGTGCGTGGTTCTACTTGGGGACATAGCCTGTGTGCGGTCCTATCCGGGGACACCCCGCAGGCACGGTGTCACATCCCACACGTGGTCCTGCTTAGGAGCGCATCACATGTGCACTCCTAATGCACTCCTACCTGGGGACGCAGCCCTTGTGGCCCTACATGGGGATGCATCGCATACATGGTCCTATGTGGGGACACATCCTGTGCTTACGTACATGGTCCTATCTGGGGACGCCAGCTGTGCTCCCAAGGGAGGATGCAGCCGCCCCAGCCACAGGAGGGCACAATCCATCTGGCGGCACCGCTGGCATCCCAGCAGATGCCATGCAGCCTTTGTGTCCCACGGGCTTTTGCTGTCCCCCGCAGCAGATGAGTTCCCATTGGCAGCGCTGCAGAAGGCTCCTCACCCTATAGTGCTGTCAGTCCCAGGAGATGGGAAAACCCCTCTGCCTTTGGGATGGTGCTTGGTGGCCACCTGCAGCCCCCAGAGCGCTCTGCCTGTGGTACCTGCACAGGGACAGCCATGAACAAGGGGCAAAACTGTTTTCCTAGGAAAAAAAAGCTTTTGCACGATTTTCCTCCTCCTCTTGTTTTGTGCCATCCCATCAGCAACTGCTGCAACTTCAGCACGGTGCACCAAGTGATAGGGAGCTCTGGGGCTGTGCAGGGAGAGAGGCAAACCATTAAGGAAATTAATAGTGATAACAGATGATTAGCACCAACCCAACAAGCGCACGCAGCACAGCAGTGAGGGACGATTTCTCAGTTTTTAAGGGGTCTCCTATGAGCAGAAGGGCTCTGCTCACCAAGGCAGGATGCGGGGATCCCAACCAAATGTGGACCCCCCCAAACCCTGTGGTATTCTTTTGGGGCCAGGCTATAATTAGCAGCAGTTCTCCAGGAGCTGTCGCTCACCGTCACACTGCGTTTTCTTTTCTTAGGAATATGACTAACCTGTGAATGATTAAACGCGCTTGGGGAAAGGGGAGGGGGGAGCGAATACGAAGAGAAAAGAAAGCTTTCAGGATGCTCTGTGCAGCCTCAGAGAGCAGGAGGAGCTCAGGCACCCACAGCGCTGCCTATGAGGATGCTCAGAGCAGGCGCTGGGGGCACTGGGCACTGCTGGACCTCCCCTGGGGCAGCGTTCCTTTGAGCACAGCGGGGTCCTTCAGGCCCACCCCTCCTCCCTCTGGCTCCCAGAGCCGCCTCACTCTAACTGCTGCCCTTTAAGGGGAACACGTGGCTGCCGGGAGCCCAAAGTTGGATCCTGCTGCTGGAGATGGACTATTTCAAGGAGCTTTGATGCTTTGTTGGAAGTATTTTTAGTCGGGAAAAAAAAAAAGGTAGTGCAGTTCACAGCTCTTGCAGGAATTCTCCTGTCCCCTGTTCAGCTGCTCGGAGCACGGTTTGGGCTGCAGAGAGACAGCACCCAGCAAGGCACTGCCCAGGTCCAGCACCTGGCCACATCCAGTCGGGGGCAAATGGGAATTCCCCAAGCTGAGAGTGATGTGGAGCTCTGCTTCCTGCTGTGTATGGAATCAAAACAACTCAGAGAGTCTAAATTACATTTATATTCCCTTTCATTCCATCCGTGACAAGCCGTCCATCCCCGGAGGTGTCCAAGAAATGTGGATATGTGGCACTGAGAGACATGGCTGGTGGGCACATGGGCAGGGCTCGGCAGTTGGACTTAATGACCTAAGAGGTCATTTCCAACCTTAACAGCTCTATGAACCCCACACACCCACAGCGTAGGGATGGGGTTTCTGCTCTGCTCCCGCTGCTCGCTTCTCACAAGCCCTTCACTCCCTCCTGCTCCACACACACTCCATGGTCAGGGTGGGACCCTGTGAATCCGTGTCACCCTGTGCCCCAGTGCCAGCAGGGGTTGGAGCTTCTTCTGCTGTGAACTGGAGAGACCACAAAGAAGTTTGAAGGACTAAGCTGGATTTTTTCCAAACTTGTACTCTTTTTGCTTGGAGAAATATTGTGACTCAAAATCTGAAATGAGCAGTTCAACATCAAAAAGAGAAGGGGAGTGGGGAGTGTTGCCAAGAATAACACCTCCCTGCCACCCCCATAGCTTTGCTGAGGAGGAGCTGAGGGTTCACTGATGCAAAGCTGTAAGCAATGGGGCCTGGAGGAGCAGGGTAGCAGAGCAGCATTTGAGCAATGGCACATTTCACCTTGGGATTTTAATTCCAAGAGCACAGCTCTGTGCTGAGCTGCTCTGACACAGCTGTTCCCTGGTGCAGAACTTCCAGAGGTGGCTTTCCTGTGCATCCCATCCCATCCCATCCCATCCCATCCCATCCCATCCCATCCCATGTTCCCAGGCTGCAGGATGCTCAGCACAACGCAGCCCCTGCTCTCTGCTTTCCAGAGCTGCTGGCTCCTCGCCTTGTTGCAGTACATGCAAGCTGCTTTATGCTGAAGGAAACAAATGCACTAATAGTGTAGTAATTAGGACACTTAATTACTGATAAAGTTACTCAGCTCCTACTGAAGACTGCTTGCTACTTGCCTTTGTGTCAGAGAGAAGCAATGTCTCCAGCCGTGACCTTGCTCTCATCCTGGCCACGCTCCGGTGCTCAGGAGCACCATGAGGTCTGCGCTGGCTGCAGGCTGAAGTCCAGGAGCTCCTCCTTCCCCTGCAGGCCCTGAAGCCTTGGGAATCCCTAAGAAACACCAGCAGGGACTGAGCTCATACACAAATCTCGGTGCAATCCATGCCCCTGCTGCCTACAGCTGGATTCACGTGGAGAGGACACTTCTCAGTAGTGTGGCATCAACAGACTCTGCCCTCAATTAATTAGGGCCAATGTATCTGGAGTAATACCTGTTGGGATCTGATATTTTAAGGCTTTGACTAATCTTGGTACAGACAAAAGGAGACATCAGCCAAGTGGGACCTACAGTGCAGTCTGTCCCTGCACCAGCACTGAGGTGACACCAACCACCAGCACAGCATGGGGCACCCAGGAGTCAGTGCTGCTCCTCACCTCACTGGGGTGCACAGATGGCTTCCTGTGATGCAGAAAGAATTGCACTTGTGTGCCAGGGCAAGCAGGCACTGCTTGCGGGCTGCTGCCTGTTTGTGCAGGAGCTGAATGGTTGGTGCTAGAAGATAAACCTACTGCTGCTACAAACCCAACTCACACAGCTGCTGGCAGTGCAATGCTCACCTGAGACTGGGGCCGTTTGCATCTGCTTTGACACAAGAGCAGTTCCACGTGTGACAGACCTCAAGCACATCCCCTCCAAACACACAAAGACAACTTGGTTAAAGCCAACAGCCAGATGGCAGAAAGGACAGAATTGTCTCCTTCTGCAAAGTGCGTTCTTCTTTTCTTCAGAAGAAAAAAAGAGGATTTAAGTGCTATTCGCTCCAACACTGCTTCACTGTTAATGTTTTGTACTCTGATTTATCACTTGTAGGCATCTGACCTCCTTTTGGGCTGGACTCTGAGCCATCTGATCGAGTTGTACACATCCCTGTTGGTTGCAGAGGAGTCAGAGTGATGGCCTTTAAAGGTCCCTTTCAACCCAAACGATTCTATGATTCGGCCTCTGCTTTCAGGACAGGCAATGCAGGCTGGCTGCAGCGAGGCCTGATGGCACCGGGGGGAGGGATGCAGGAAGGTTAATGAGTGCAACAACAGCAAATGCTAGCAGGACTCTACATATTGCAAATTAATTACGTTTCAGGGGATTGTTTCCTTTTGATGAATGCTGAGGACTACAATGGGAA